TAATATCCAGAATTAAATTCATTATTAGAAGGGAGAATTAATTAAAATAACTAAGTTTTAGGCTACACAAAATTATATAAAAATTTTCACACAAAGGCGAATTGAAAATTAGGTCAAACTATGACACTTAAGAAAGTGTTGACTTTTATTTAGTTACTTCCAAACTAAAATGAATTTTAAAAATCTAATTTCACCACTCATCAACTGAACATAAGATGGACTTTGTCAATTTTTTTTGTACATTTTCTCAAAATTTTATTTTTAGACCAAAATACCCCTAATACACTAAACCTAGAAGCTTAGGCAAAATTCTAAATCTAATGCAATGTGTGCACTTGAAGGTGATAAATCATTAATAAAAGGGTCCTAATTGACAAATAAAAGTAGGTAACAAATATGTTCTATCAACTGACCCAATAAAGACATCTTGTAGGAAATTTGTTGTGGTTCGCTAATTTTTGCTTTATCGCCACCATCCACATTTCCTTTTTTGTCCAGATCCATCTCCTTGGACTCATAACCTTTCCTTTCACCTTCATTGTTCATACTTCCATTAGTTTGCATCTTTACTTTTTCAAAAACCTTATCACGTTTCTTAATATTTCTCCCTATGACTTCTTCCTCTAACTTAGATAAACCATCTCTTGGATGATTAGTAGTCGAATTCGCTCTCGCCTGAGAACTTGCACTCACAGGACCCTTCCTTCTTTTAGAGCTTCTCTCTCTAACTCTCTTGCTCATCCTTACTATTCAAAATTTTTAGGATTAATTAAAGTTTAGGATTTAAATCACTTATGAATCTATTGTTCAATGTCTAAATTATATAATGTTTTTTGGGGCAAAGGAACTTTAGCAACTTGCCAATGGAAACTAGTACAGCTTACAAGGAAAAGCCAAAGAAAATGATGAGAACAAAAAACGAACCAAGAGATAACAAAAAGCTTAAAAGCAATAACCAGTCTAAAAGAGCCAGCCAACCTTATCTCGAGCTTGAATAGCAATGCTAATTGTAAGAGTTTATAATGGATTTTAGTTCAACCTTAGTATTTAGGAGTTTTTTCAAGGATAGAATGGAATTGAATGAGATAATCAATAGTTTTATATGATCATTTAAAAAATATTTTTCAAAAATGAGTGAAATGATTTGGGATGACTTTTCAAACAATCCTTAATTGTGTAATTTTTTTATCTTCTAATTTAGGAAATTGAGAATAGAATGACTTGAGGTAAGTAATAGGGAGAATTTTATTTCATTTAAGGACCATGGAAGGATGATATCTTCAAGTGACTTCCAAAAGATTGCAAAATTTCAGTTCAATCTCCCAAGACTAAACTGAAAATAAGTTTAATGAAGAAAAGACGAAATAGCCCTCAATGCAAATACTAAAGAAAATAAGTACCCGTGTTAGTCGCCCATTGTCACTCGTTAATTCTCCAATATCTCTTGCAAACCTCATCTAAATTGTACCCGTGTCTACATGTTATCACCAGTTGTTAATTGCGTGACTCCAATTATAAATTTATTAATGACAGTTGTCAGTTTGAGGACAATGACCAAATATGTTCACAACTTAGCTTAATCTTTTAGATCTTGTTCATGGGAGATGGTGGAACACCACTTGTTAGTCGACCAGCGCCACTCGTTAATTCTCCAATATCCCTTGCAAAACTCGTCTGAATCGTACCCATGTTTACATGTTACCACCAGTTATTAATTGTGTGACTCCAATTGTAAATTTATTAATGACAATTGTCAGTTTGAGGACAATGACCAAGCATGTTTATGACTTGGCCTAATCTTTCAGATCTTGTTCGTGAGAGATAGTAGAACACCACTTGTTAGTTGCCTAGTGCTACTCGTTAATTCTTCAATACCCTTTGCAAAATCTCATTTCCCATCAAACTTATTTGCACCAAGGGCAGCCTCATCTTTTCCTCATCAAACTTATTTTTAGTTTAGTCTTGAGAAACTAAACTGAAATTTTGCAATCTTTTAGGAGCCACCTAAAGATATCTTCCTTCCATGATCCTTAAATGAATTTCTCCCTAAATAACATTATCACAAAATTACCTTAATCCTTCTTACTTCCCTCACTTTTCACTTCCTCCCAAAACTGAAAAGAATAATTATCACTAATTTAAATATATTAATTTTATAGTAATTTTTAAATAATTAAATACAATTGTTTGTTTCTCTAAAAAGATTCTCAAATAATGAGATGTTCTATTCCATCCTATTTTATCTTACTCCACTCGGTTTCATTACGTTAATGATTATTTCAGTTCATTTCATCTTATTGTTTGAAAAATGCCCATGTAGAGCTACATATGATCTATTAATTAATTATAATTTCTTTTTCAGAGCGTCTCTATTTAATGCACCATTTTTTCAAACCATCCAAATGATTAAATATCAGTAATCAAATTAAATGAGAGGCTATTTCAAGAAGATTATAGAAATATTAATTAAAATTAATTTAATTTTGTTTCTAATCTCCATCTCTATGAATTAGGTAAAATCTCTCACAATTATTAGGATTAGGAGGAGTACTAAATGTAAAATATGAACATCTTTTAACGGCTCTTTTTTTTTCTAAAAAAATAAAGTGTTAATTGATAATTTAGTTTTTTTAAAAAAACTAATTTTAAAACTAAAACATACAAATTAAATATAAACTATTCAAATCTCATCTTAAGGATGAGTTACGCTATATTACTAATTCCTCTATCTAATGCAAGCAATATGAAGGATGAGGCTTGACAAGTGTTTTAAGAAATAATTTTGTGCTTGAAAAACGCATATATCTTATTTTACTTATAAGAAATATGATATAAAATACTCCATTGGATTCTTATTATAGGGTACTTTATAATGGCTTTTTTTTATAATTAACATAAGGCACATGAAAAGTTATTTATTATTATTTTTAAGTTTACCTCTGTTGTAAATTTAATTTTATAACTCATCATATATTATATATCTCTTTTTTCCTTTTGTTTTTTATAGCATAAGGAGTAGACTTTACAAATAGTAGAGATTATCTATCTTGATATGCAGAAGGCAGAAAATAAACCTCTACCAATTAAATTACTACATAAATAGAGGATTTGATTTGAACTTGCAACCATTTATTTAAGTGACAAGAGGTTTTACCATTTATCTAAATTTAGTTGGTCTTTTTATTCATGCTTTTACTACAAGTAAAGTTAATTTTTTTTATTTTAAGATATATTTAATAGTTAATTATCATTTCTAAATTCAACTTAAGCAGTTGAAAGCGCCATGCTATATATGCGAGGAATAGTTGGTAAGATATAATACAGAAGAAAGAGAAAACGAATAGTTGAATAGTTGAAAATTTATCATATTACGTATAGATGCTTACTACGTAGTAACAAATTTTTCTTCAATTTTATGCAATGTTTTTAAAATCGAATTAGATATTAAACTAAAAAAATTAACAATTCATGATATGTCTAGTCCAATCCTATTAGATTAATAGTTAAATCGATAATATAATAATTAAATTTAAAAAATTACTATATAATAATCTAAATATAAAAATAAATGTAAAATTGCTACTTAACTTAAAAATAAAATTAAATATTTTAAATTTATCATAACTTAATAAGCCATATAATACAATATAACATTAAATGATTAAAAAATTAATCATTTTTTAAAAAAATTAAAAAAGAAAAAGGATATTTTTTTGAACAGTTCAATTTTTAAAAACCAAATCCGATTCTCGACTTGATCCTGAATCCCAGTTCAACCGTCGGTCCAAAGCGGTTCAATTCGGCTCAACTCTCCAAATGATTTTTTCGACTCAACTAAGCTGTTAGCCTGATCGATCAACAATTTGATCAGTCTAACCATTTGATTTGGTCCGATTTTTCAATTATTGATTTTATGGCTTTGTTAAAAGTTCCGGATCCTGGAGGGTTTTATTAAAATAGGAAAATAAGAATTTTGATCCGATATTAAATAGAGGATGTGAACAGATAATTTGGACAGATAGATGCATGAGTCAAAAATATATATTTCTTGGGGGTTAAAAAGTCAAAAATTAATCGGCTATGACTAGATGCTTACTCAACCCACAGCTTGCGCCAACAAACACCTCTCGAGATTTGATTCCACGTAAGACTGACTCATCCTCATCTATTCCCTCTAACTTTCTTTCAAATCACCCCTATTGAACCTCATATTTATATTTCTAGCCCCAAAATTTCTTGAGCCCTTTTTAGCAATTTACTTTTCATTCGCGTGTTTCACTGTGGATCATTTGGAATTTTAGATACAACTGTACAACTCTTTTTTAAAAAAAAAAAATTTGATCTGTACAAGTTGATACAACAGAAAATACCACCATCTAACAATCAAATTTAAGGCCAGTTTGGTGTAAACAATAAAAATTTAATGTTTTTTTTTACTTAAGGACATAAAAAATATTAATAATCTATAAAATTATTTTTATTCTATTATCTTCGATATTCTATCTACCGAAAAAGCCTATCAATCCAGTTACTAGTTGTGAATCTATTTTTGGATTTGAATTTTTTTCACCTATTTTAGTATTATGATATGCTTGTTATAGATATATATATATATATATATATATCAATAAATGTTCATTGATAAAGATAAACTCATACAACTTTCCATTATGAGCTCAGCCTCTCTATCTTTTACAAGTTTCTCTCAACTTAAGAAATTCGACAACCTTGTTTCCTAATTATAAAAAACGATTAATTAAATTTAATGTGTTTCACTTTAGGGGAATACAAACCTTTCGTTGTCCACGTCAGCGATGCAACCGTTATGAGAGCTGGACTGATGTAAGAATTAATCAGATTGCACACGGTTTGTAGTATTTAAGATTAAAAATAAAAAAATTACAAAAAGGTTAAGCTCATGATTGCGTGTTTTTTTTTTTTTTTTCAGATGAGGACTCCAAGCTTCCTAATTCTCAGGCAAGGACTTTTCTGGATTTTAGCATAAATAGCCTCATTGTCAGCGGCTGAATCCACACACAACCTTTTTCAATTCATTCATTCATTCATTTTCTTTGTTTCTCTCTGCTTCGTCTTTTCACAATTCAAAATGACTATCCTCATTGAGCAACCTCATCTTGGTATGTTCCTTTTCTTTCTTCTTCTTCGTTATATTCTTGTAGAGACTTAATAGCATGGGATATTAAGTCTCACATTAAATAATATACGATGTTCAATGAAGTACTTAAATCGTGTTGGTCCTCCGACCTCAACAATTAACTTTTGGAGTATGGTTCCTTATCTCACTTAGGCATATTCTCTTGTTTTCTGAACTATATAAGCTTATGTTTTGTGTTTTCCAATGATTCAGAGTCAAACTACTTTGGTGAGAAGAATTTGCATTCTGACAATAACAATAATAATGAGTTTGTATTGGATGGTGGATTTCCGCTGCCAAAATCTGTGTCACAGAATGGATTTATGGCCCCAGAAATCAACGCGTTTGGTCACTCTTTCAGGTCTCATTTTGTTCTTTGAGGTCAAAGAATGAATCAGTTAAGTTTGAGTATGACAATAATGGGAGTTATATTTCAATTGGTGCAGAGATTATGATGCAGAAAGCGAGAGGCAAAAAGGGGTTGAGGAGTTTTATAGGCTTCAGCACATTCACCAGACATATGACTTTGTAAGCCCAAAAAAATTACATTCTCAAACTCTTTGCAACTCTCATGGAAGGCCCTTTTTTCCCCCCTTTTGCTCCAGTATCTTAAGTTTTTGATTCGGGCTAATCTGGTCGATAATTTGTGGGCACATCTTTGAGAAACATACCTCGCACAAATAATTTAATCACTACTGCATGCATTTATGCCTGGGGCTCGAAGTCGAGACTTATTTAGTTCTAGTCATATTTATATGCATGAAAGACCATATTTTGGTTCATTTCTCAAACTTTATAAAATGCATGGAGGCGCCATGTGGTGATGAATTAACTTTGAATGACGTTGCAGGTGAAGAGAATGAGGGAGGAGTATGGGAAATTGGACAAAGCAGAGATGGGGATATGGGAATGTTGTGAGTTGCTGAATGAAGTGGTGGATGAAAGTGATCCTGATTTGGATGAACCTCAAATTGAGCATTTGTTACAATCGGCTGAAGCTATCAGAAAAGACTATCCTAATGAAGACTGGTTGCACTTGACTGCCCTTATTCATGGTATATTAAATTCTATATCCTATATATTCATACCCTTTAGGGTCAAACTTCAATTTTTTTTTTTTTTGGGGGACATGATCATCCATATAACAACTTTTTACACGAGACCAATTGGGTCCCAAATGCTTTAACTCTGAGAGGAAAAGGGAATTGATTGCAGAATATTCTTGGCTCTTTTTTTCAGATCTTGGAAAGATCCTTCTCCTTCGTCAATTTGGTGAGCTTCCTCAATGGGCTGTCGTTGGTAAGATTAAAAACTGCTCCAATTTCTTTTTTTCATACACAATTGCTCAGTTTTTTGTATGTCACTGAGAGTTCAACATCTCAAATGAATGCTTCATGAAAATATTTTTCAGGAGATACATTTCCTCTTGGCTGTGCTTTTGATGAAGTAAATGTGCACCATAAGGTGTGTAATTTATCCTTTCTGACAAAATAAAGTGTAAATGTTTTTGTTTTGACGTCTTGCTCATTTGAGAGTCATCTGACTTTACGTTTTGTTGCTTGTTGCAGTATTTCAAGGACAACCCAGATTACAATAATCCTTCTTATAACACCAAAAATGGCGTCTACACTGAAGGTTGTGGACTTGATAACGTAGTCATGTCATGGGGACATGATGATTATATGTACTTGGTGAGTTTCAAGTTGATGTCTCAAACCACAATTAACCTTATTTTTCTCCACTGCATTCTTCACTACTTGTGAATCATTCAAATCAAATTTTAAGGTTATAGATTAATCGTATGTATTTTTAAAAGCCATAAAATTCAATCTAATGGTCCACTATTGTGGTGGTCTCACCTAGACCCAATAATTTAAATGAGTCAGGCTTATTTAAATTAAGCTCAATTCCGGTCTGGCTTAAAATACCAAAATATATAAAAAAACCCATATAACCAAGCTTGTCCATAATGCCTTGAGCTTTCAAGCTTATTCATGCTAGTATAAATACTCAAATTATTATATATTATTTTATTTTATTTTTTTTAGCCAATTTTAATTTTTGTTTTAAAAAATTAAGATTTTCAATTTTCATCTTATTTTAATTTTATTTTGTTAATAGTAAAAAAGAATTCGAGTATTCAAACTAAGCTTACTCATGCTCATGCTTATTTAGGCAGCCTAAATGAGCTTCAAAGAAATTTTTATAAACTCCCAAACCCAGTCTTAAGATTTTTGGGCTGCCCTATTGGGATTGATTTGAAGTGCTAGCTCTAGTCCCACATCCCTCAAACCATTGTATTCATTAATATGCTCTGGTTTCTCTTCTAATCTTTTGGTTTTTATTACCCAGAAGGAATAGAACCATTTGATCATGACACATGCCTTGAACATATTTTTTCACTTGTCTTAATGATGAAAGTCTAATCAATAGTTCACTTGAATTTGCAGGTTGCTAGAGAAAATGGAACCACTTTGCCTCAAGCAGCTTTGTGTGTTATCAGATATCATTCTTTCTATCGTAAGAATGTTCGCTAAGTCATATGTACATTCATGCCAATGTTTTTTGTTCTGCAAGCAAATATGTAATAAGGACATCAACACACTAAATTTTGCAGCTTTACATAACAAAGGTGCATACACACAATTGATGAATGAAGAAGACGTTGAGAATCTGAAGTGGGTCAAAATATTCAAGTAAGCTATTTCTGACACAATCTCAATGCAGCTTTTTATCCTCAGTTATTAATTAGATCATACAAACTGAACAGTAAATGTGTTTCATCATACAGCAAATATGATCTGTACAGTAAGAGCAAAGTTCGTGTGGATGTGGAGAAAGTGAAGCCATACTATCAATCTCTCATTGAAAAAGTGAGAACTTTATTAACTATAACTTAATTCTTTTTTATCATTTCACTGATATTTTCTCTTGTGGGTATTTATTTATTCATTTATATTCTGTGTGTATGGATCTGCAGTATTTCCCAGCGAAGCTAAGATGGTGAAACTTGATGTTGAAGATGAAGCTTAGACGGAGAGACACGTGAAAAGTGATGGAAATGAAAGCAGGGGATCAAATAGTCAAGTTCTTAATGATATGAGATCTGAAAATTGCTGTCCTTTTTCTATTCTTTTCTTTCGGGCCGTATGGGTCTTTTTAAATTTGATGTAATAAATAAATTATAATGTGGTCCGAAGAACATATTATTTTGTCTTAAATTGGGGGTTCTTGTTGTGGATTTTACTTCAGAATACAACAATTTTACTTGCACTTTTCATATTTAACCTCAAGGGTGATCTTAAAAATTGAACATAAGAAATATTTGATTTATTGGGGGATTTGAGTGTAAATTTCCTGTCTTAGAATTAAAAAATTTCTTAGAGTTATTGTGAGAGAACAATTTCACAAGTTTATGAAATCATTCTAACTCTAATTATACTTACACGGTAATAAATATTTTCAAGCATATAGAATGTTTTAAGATGTTTTAACTCTTTATTTTCCAATAACTACTATTTTGTACAATTATTAATTATTAAATTACAATTATAAACTTAAATTTGTGACAAAATGTTTTTTTACTAAAATTAAAAAAATTGAGATATTAAAAAAATTGAAAAAATTGAGTAAATTATATTTTAAAGTGGTTTATTGCATTTACTATTTCAAAGAGTTCATTATTTATTGATTTGAAATCTTCAAAAAAAATTTTTATAAGTGATTGTAATAGCTTACAGGTGCTGTTGTAAGTGTTGTTGTGAAATCTAGATTAATATTATCTTATTGTCTAGTGGTTGTACTGTGATGCTTGCTTGTGATTTTATTAGAAACCCTCAAGGATGATCTTGAGGATTGGACATAAGCTAAGTAGTTAAGCTAAACCAAGATAAATTTCTTATATCAATTTTTCTCTACTTTTAAACTCTTCTTTTATCAAAAGCTTTCGACATTATTATCAATTTTCACATTCTTCATCCTTCTAGGTTGGAAAAATCTTTGTGAATTTTTTTAACACCTAATTCACCTTGCTTTTTGGTGCCAACCTTATCCAACATTTGATATTAGAGCAAAGTCTCTAGATCAAAAATTCAATAGTCTAAGAGCAAGGGTGACTAAGATTAACAAACCTCCAAGATTCAATGATAAAAACTATACATTATGAAAGAGAAAGATGAGAGGTCCCCACATTCTTTGAGGCATTAGATTTATATTTATGGGGCATTGTTGAAAGAGGTCCTTACATTCCCCTAAAAGATGTTGATGGAAAGCAAGTTAGAAAGAGCAAAAGTACACAGAGAAAGAAGAAAAGTTAGTGTTGCTGAACTCCAAGACCAAATTGATTATTGCAAGTACCTTAAGCCAACAATAGTATTTCTGTGTAAGCAACCTTGATACAGTAAAGGAAATGTGGGATGCACTTGAGATAGCTCATAAAGGCATAAAAAGGGTAAAGGAGAACAAGATAAGCACTATAACACAAGAATATGAGCTATTTTCAAAATGACGCCCAGTGAAAACATCAAGGAGATGCATATTTGATACATCCACATGACGAATGAATTTGCAGTCCTTAGCAAGACATATACTTAGAAGGAGCAAGTCAAAAAAATCCTAAGAGCTCTACTTGCTAAGTGGAAACCTAATATCATTACAATAGAGGAAGCCAAAAGTGAATCCATGAGGCCAGTTGCTACTTTATCTGAAAATTTGGTTGAGCATGAAGGCAACCTTGCTATGGTAAAGGAAGATGCTAAAAAGAAGAAGAAAACTTTGGCATTTAAATCATCAAATTTGATTCTAATTTTAAATCCAATGATAGTGAGGATTTAGATAATGAAATGGCTATGTTTGCTAAGAAATTTTGATTCTAAATCTAATGACAATGAGGATTTAGATAATGAAATGACTATATTTGCCAAGAAATTTTGGGCAAATTTTTTTAAAAGTCTAATCCACAAAAGGTTCCCATAGAAGAAGTACAAGAAGGATAAAGAGATAACTTGCTTTAAATGTAAGAAGCTAGGCTATATCAAAGCTGATTGTCCATTGGCCTAAGAGAGCAAGAGCTACAAGTATGATAAGAAAAAAAAATCAAAGCCTATTTCTCTTCCATATAGGGCAACAATGATAAGGAATTTGATGGTGAAGAAGGAAATATTTGCCTTATCGCTAGAAGTGATGAAGATGGGGAATATAATTCTAATTTTGACTCTAAATTTGAATTTACACTTGAAGAATTGAAAAATACATTTAAATAATTGCACAGTAAGTCTCTTCATCTTGTCAAAATTTTGGTTTCAACCAAGAGAATACTTGTATCTTTGGAAAAAGAAAATGTATGTTTGAAAATTGAGAATGAGTCATTGAAAAAGAAGTTTTCTACTTTTGAAAATAAAACTTAAACTCATTGTACTGATTGCAAATTTCATTTTATAGAAGGAGGATTTGAAAATTACACTTGTTAAATTTTCTAAAAGCATAGACAACTTAAACATGATTTTAATCCAATAAAGTGTTGATGATATAGTAGGTTTAGGTTATATGCCAAAGTTAAAGCAAAAGTATTACAAAATTTTTTGTGTCTGCCACTATGATTAACTCACCTAATTCCACTTATTCTTATTATAACAAGAAAGGACACATATTATAACAAGAAAATACATATGACTAACTCATATCTTTATAAGAAAATAAGCTCAGCAAAAACATAAAGTGGGTTTCAAAGGAGTCCACTCACCCTCCTCCTAAGAAAACTTGATACTATTATAGGGATCATGGAGGACCACTAGAGCAAAATAGTACTTAGACAATGGTTGCTCTAAATACTAGTGATAGTTCAATGTTTGTAACCTTCTTCCATATCAAACTGCAATCTCATCATAAATCTGATATAAGAAAGGGTTCACAAAATCACCACACCCTATAATACACAAATAAAGAAACATTTAGTTTAAAATGCTTGGGACCTCAAGATTTCTTTGTTAAAATCATTTGAAATTATTCACATGTCAGAGCAATGCACAGTGAAAAAATAGTTCTTGCATTCATCTCTCTTGACACATGTTTCAAATCAAAAGAAACAAAACTAGTAGGGCCATAAGCCATCATGTGCACCACATGCATTGTGGTATATGGCATCGAGCCATAGGCTCCATGCCTATGTCATCCGCCACGACATGTGACACCATGCATTATGGTGCATAATGACAAATTTTACAGTCATTTGACAATTCATGAAAGTGAACTTTCAACGTATGCCATTTCCACATACGATGTCTGATTAGAATAATTCAAGCGCTCATATGAAACTTATTCCATAAGTTAACTAATGAGATAAGTTTGGACACGATCTAATGGTTCGATCTAAATTTGAACACTACAGGTATAAAAAGTCATTTTTTTTTGAAAATTCAAGCACCAAAGTGTTCAAATCACACACATTGTCTCATTTGACCATTTTGGCCTTAAAACCAAGTCCAAAAGACCATTTATACCTAATTGACCAACAATACAATCGTATATTTAAATATATCAAGATCTAGCCAGTTAGTTGCCTATTTACACAATAAAGGGCAATTTTTACAACTTTATATAGTTTACCTATTGAACCATTCAATTTATAATTTCACCACAAATTCAACATTGTCAATATATCCACACACATAAAACAATCTTATCCCACAATCACATTTCACCACTTTTTCACACAATTAGGCTAAGATTCACAATGTTAACATTTTCACCACAAATATGTACATGAATCCTATGGAAACTTATTCATTTATAAATGTACAACAAAACTAAATTCATTACACGAACTCTTAACCACACAATTGTAGCACCATTATGTCGATCCAAAATCTTTCTCCTTACCTGGTTCACAACTTTGACCTATAAAAATGTAACCATGGGGTGAGATAATAGTTTCAGTAATAGAATAGCTTATTGCTATTAACTATCATAAGTAACTATAAACAAGTATTGCATATAAAAAATCAAATAAAGAATATTACATACTTTTACTTCATAAAACCATTTTTAAAATCATTCGTCACCACTAGCATGATCACTACCATTTGATTATTTATATCATCTCGATTGAAACTATAGGCCCTTATTAGGCCAACATATACTCATTAACCTAAGCGTACCTTCAGTGATAGAATAATGCACACCATAATCGAGGTGTCGGTACTCCAATACCACATCACACAAACTAAAGAGCTTTAATCTCCAACATCTCACCCCTCTTAGGTACTAAGGAGATAATTTCCAACATCATACCTTAATAGGTACTATGTAGATGAAATTCTCCAATACCACACCCCGTTAGGCACTAAGGAGAATAATGCCATATGGACTTCTTACTACTTCTCCCTATGAGTGAACTCCCACCCTCTATGGTCATGCTCACATAGAACAAATAATTGCATTCCAAATCCACACACACAAACATATAGTTATATAGTCACATGTCTATAAACCCATTTCATTGAAATCCTTTTTCAGGCACATATGTTTTTCTCATAAACAAACACCATCTAAAACAGTTTCATGCACTAGCTATAACTCATATGGAGTTACAATAGATAATTAAATAGAGTAATTTATTTGATTACCTCAATTCTTTTATCACAAGAAAAGGTTACCCATAGATTCCCACAACAATTAATGTCCCCACTCACTTCATTTTCTCGGGTTATGTAAAGTCCTTACTCAATCTAGACTTTACCATTCCCAATCACATAATAAATTAACACAACAACAATAATATTAGAGTAATAGCCCTTTATTTGTTTTCAAATTACAAGATTTTGACTTTTTAAAGCATATATTCAAATAAATAGGCTAGTAAAAGTGTAATACACAATTTTAAGACTAAAAAGGCACAACATCTCTACCCTGAAAAGAGCCATGCACTGTGGTTTGTACCATATGCGCTACGGCATGTGGTAGAAAGCAATATGCTTTGTTTCTGTCTATCTCATGCACTACGGCGAGGCACATCATGTGCTGTGGCATATATGATAGATATTTTTGCTATCATATGACAGCTTGTAAGACGAACTTCCATTGCACATTGTAACCTTCTTGAGGTTAAACTACAATTAACTCCAAATCATGGTAATCTAAAGCTTAACCCTCAATAATTTTCAAACTGTAAGGTTTTATAAAGGAAATTTCTCAAAATCTTTCCATAGGAATCCTAATCTCGACA